TCACATTCAGCCGCACCCCCTCATATCTGACTGCATGTCCCTTCCCCCACCACTTAAGAGTCTGGCCATGTACCACCCCTCCCTTCGTTCGGCGGCCGGGGGTACACTGCCCTGCGTCCGGCCGCCGGGGGGGACAATGATCCAAAAAGGCTGAAAACCCCTGCTCTAGGGAAAAGAGTTCCTCATTTCTAATGCTGTGTATAATACAGCACACAGTTGGAGTAACAGTAGCATGTAAAAACTTTTTCAGAAATTTCAGTTTTTCCTAAAATTACTATGTTGTATTCTGTTTTTTAGGGTTTTAACGAGTCTTTGCTAATGCCGTACTCTTCTATCACTTCATTGTGAACTTTTAGTCTTGATAAGACACTTGAAAGAATGTGAAACCTTTCCATAGCACTTTACTGTAGTAGATAAGATCAATAGTTTTGATACTTTTAAGTGAAGAAAAGTGTGCTCTAGGCTAATCTAGAGTATGTGTCTGCATTAATTAAAAAATAAACCATTTGAGGTAGGATAACAAGTAGAATCTAGTTATGCAGAGCTTGATATTGTCTTCCTTTTTATAATCATCATAGATGCGTTGTAGCCACATCAGATCTGTTTGTGAGCTTGAATGCCGGTAAAACAAATTTTCAAAACTATTTTTGAGGCTGCTTGTTGATACACCAAAATGTAAAGATACCGGCTGGCTGACAATGAAATAATATAAAGCTTAAAAAGGACTCATTGCCATCCTGGGGGTTCATTCATTTGATGTGTATTGAATGAGTCTTGTTTACTTGCCAGAAAGAAGAGGGAGTAAAAAATGTGTCACTACGGTTGTAAAGCATAGGACAGCTTGTTGCGCTTTTCATTAATTAATCTTTTTCATTAATATAAAGAACAAAACAGAGATGTTGTAGCCAATAACTACATTTACAAGCTCCTTCGATCTGTTTCCCAACAGACGAATAGTACAGGTCGTTGTGATGAGGACAGCGTTGCCATGCAGCCCAGCAAAACGGTCCACTGAAAAGGCATGCTGACCCACTTTCAAGTACCAGCTTTTGCCGACCCTTTGTTGAGTGAGAGGTTCTTCCAAGTTTTTGTTGTTTTCACCCTTTCAATTCCCATTTCTAAAGAAGCAAGCCTCTCTCATTAGCCCCCTCCCCTCTTCTAGCATTCATGGAAGAAAGGCAGATTGTTTTTTGTGCTTCATTTTGCTTTAGTCAGTTCTAAAAAACCTTTTCCCCCTTGTTATGAACATGCCTTGGAAGAAATATGGGTCTTGCCATCAACAAAATTAGGATACAATTCCACAAGGAACTCAGCCTGATCAGAGTAATTCATCTATGAAAAACTGTACTTTAATTGTTACTCTTGGCAGCAGGGAAGGATAATAGTGAAATATTATACTAAATATTGCCACGTGCAATAGTAAAATACTGTTTTATTCTTGCCAACAGTGGTGTGCAAGCACCCCTTAGAGTTCAGGTTTGGATGTTATGATTTAATCTAAATCTTTTGCCTCTCCTCCTTCCAAACCAACAGAGGTTTAAAGAGAGCTGGATTTTTATTGGAACCATTTGCTCAGACTAAGTTGCCAACATAATTTAGTTAAAACTAGTGCTTTTATTTGGGTTAAAGTTGATTCCTTAGCTCCACAGAGGTCAAGATACTTAGTTTGTCTTCCTTCTTTTCAATTCTATCATGAAGTCTACAGCAGAGTTTTGCCAGGTCAAACTGTATTTCCTGACTCCCAGTCTTCACAGTCAACCTTGTCCACATTCATGATTTTATAAAAGAGGGGGAGAAAGCCCCTTTACCTCTCTGATCCTTTTACATCTGTAAATACTTGCTATCATAAATGAGGCATGGCACATACATGGCTCTTAGAGGGTAGGAGGTTAAGCCAGATACAGAATTATTATAAATACACAAACTCCACTAGTGCTGCTGATTATGCTACTGGTGCTACCTAGTCTACCATGCGTTTGTGGAATTTTTAATTTCCTAATGAATGACAGCTGCTGAAAAACACATCCTAGTGTGGACACTGGGTGTGTCTACACCTGTGCCTGGTTGCACAGTTGTTACTGAAGCTAACTTAAGCTGTGGTGTTCACGTGGTGTAAAATAAAGTCAGTTCTAGCTAATTTCCAGAATTCTATCCTTCGTATTTTCTCACCTGTTTCTCAAGGGAAGCAATAACACTGTTACACTGGGTGCATCTACACAAGACACAATGTTGCCATAGCGATGAGCTGCAGCTATAGCTTGTCGTTACAGCAATGTACAGTCAGCAGGCAGAAACCACGACACCGCCACTACTGCGCAGTAGCAATGAGTTGTTAATACGCAGTCATTTAGTACTTGCTTTAGCACTGCATGGGTCATTTTCAACCCTACTGCGCTGTATTAATAAGCTATGGTGCAGTACCTCATTGCTACTGTGCAGTAGCAGTGGTATCACGGTTTGTGCCTGCCGACACTCGTGTAGACATGTCCAGTACAACAGTGTGATTGGTTCCCTTCAGAAACAGGTGAGAAAATGCAAAGGATAGAATTATGGAAATTAGCTAGAACTGCAAAGCTTTATTTTACACGACGTGAAAACCATAGCTTAAGTTAGCTTCAGATAGCTGCCCAGTGATAAGATATCATTACCTTTTTCCTGCCAATACACTTTTAATCCCACTGTACTGGCATCATCCTCAAGGAAATATATCATTAAGGAAATTATTTTCCTCACACTTTCTATTTTTGCCTGTACAAGCATCCTCATACATCTGTCTTTCTCTCTCTTCATAAGAATTGTAAAGGAGACTAAACAGGACCCCTAAAATCATTTTAATTTCTGAGGGGCCTCGAAGCTAAATCTGTGTGTCCAAAGTCATCTTTTATAGTTCAGTTCTGGTCTGGATTCAAGAATAAAATTTCTATTTCTAATTCACTTTCAGAAATGTCACAGAGCTGTTTCTTATAAATTTTTCTAATATATTATATTCTTTATATAGTAAAGTCCTATGACTGAAGTGGAATGGGTTAAAGCTATGGGCCAGATTCAGGGCTGAATCAAGATGAGAATCTGTGTTCAGATTTAGTGGCTCTAATATTTTATGAACTGTACTCAGGAGGTTTTGACACACATTTCAGGAAAATGGTCATCTTCCAACAGGGTTGTAATCCTGGGAACAAACCTCATGAGAAAGGAGCCAGAAACATGTCATTCTGTTTCTGACTCCTACCCAGTATTACAGCCATAATATTATCTTGCATTGAAAAGTATTGCAAACTACCTCAAATGCAAATTACCTTGACATTCAAAGGTATTTTATTTCAAGGACCAATTTTAGCTGATCTCTAAAACAGAACATAGTCTCCTTTCATGATCATAGAACTGCTTGCCAATGACAAATCTTGGTCAAACACAGTAAAATATTTGATGAGAGGTTTTAAACAATGGTCCATTTTTAGCTAAATTTTGAAAAATGTTTACATTGCAGTTAATTGATAAATGGAATTTCTTTCCTATGCAAAATTATAATATCTCAAAACTTGTTGTCCTTCCAAGTCAGAGGAAAAAAGCTCACTATCAAACGTTGGATATTTAGAAAGAATCAAAGTTCAGAAATATTTCATTTGAGAAATGCCAAGTGTTTTGCTTTACTATTTTTGGTCCCAATCCTCAGCATTCTCAAACCAAAATATTTTGCTTTAACTTTTGCCAAAATTAACTATTATGGCCTCATCACCAGGATATACCAGTAACTGATCTGTGCCTTGGAAATCTACATACACCAAGTTAAGTCAGCTTTCTGTCTACCCTCTTTGGGGTTGACTAGGAACTACCCCATAATATTCACAAGCTTTAATTTTCTCAGTTATTTCATATCCTGATCCTTTAAGGATAAGGAACATTGTTATTTTGTTAGTGGAAAGCCAATTAAGATGTACAAGGCATAGGTGCCGAAAAAAGTATTTGAGGGTCTTGTTTAGCCAGGATAGGCTTCTATCCCTGCTCTAGGTGGGGGTGGAGGATGAGAAATGGGTTGGTGGCAGGTAGGAATATGAAGTGTGGAGGTACAGAGTTAATGGGATGGGAGTAGGTAATGAAATGGGAGATGGAAAGGAAATGGGAGCGGGGGAAGGGTGTTGAAAAGAAGGAAGTCAGCCACTAAAGGACAAAATAAAAACAAGTTAAAAAAAGAATATAAAGAAGAAGTGAAGTAAAGAAGGTTTCATGTTTTAAGAAATTATGATTTAGGATCTTGGATTGGGGTGTGGGGGGTGCTGATCATGCTTGCTGGGGTGGCTGGAAGGTGGGAATGGTAGGAGAAGCTGCTTTTGGAGGAGCTACTGCCCCTGCCCCAGGAAGGAAGCCCCAGCTCATGAGGACCTGACTGGCCCCCTGCCTTGTTCCCCTCCTCACCCCCCCGCAACTCTTGACCCCACTCCAGGGCCCATTTGTGCCCGGTGACTTGGCTACCTGGCATGAGCTCTGTAGGCTATTTGTATGGGGTTATACCCCTGCGGGTACAACCACATACAAATTCCCTGTCATAACCCTGGGAATGAAAGGGGGAGTTGTCTTGGTGCCAGAGCTGCCCCCTGGGCAGTAGAATTCAGGGAGTGGAAAGTTTGTCCACATCAAACAGGAGGGTGGGGGAGGGACAGCACTGCATCCTGGGATACTCAAGGACTGAAACTTGGCTATCTCATGTGTGGGGAGTGGCCACAGTTATGAACTGGGTAACACAGAAGAGAGAGAACTGCCTTGGAGTGGCATAACTTTAAGCTGCCTAAAGGACACTTTAAGCTGAACCTTTAAGGCAACTTTAAGCTGCCTAAAGGACACTTAAAACTACAGTTTCAGGTGCTAAATGTGTGGACAATCCAGGGGTTACGAGGTCCAGGAGCTGCTGAAAATTAATATGCAATAAGGCCCTAAAATGATCTCTCTCAAATACAAAAAAAATCGTTTTGCCTATACTAGTGAATAAGAAAGAAAGCTCTTACCCTTATAACCAGCAGCATTGGTTTTCCAGTCATTAGCATTTAGATGTCCTGCACGTGAAGTCCTTACAATGATATGCTGTACATCTCGCCAGGTCAGAAATGGACTAAGGAAAAAGGAAAAGACAAAGTACAAATTAGATTATTTCTACCAAAAAGGGAAAAACAACACTCTCAGGCAAAAAACAACTGAAGCAAAACCTAAATCTTCAGCAACCCCACTGATGGTCAAAATTACCCAGACTAAATTTACAGGGTAATGCTCCAAATTACTTCTACCTCAGCCACTCATTTCCAGCTGAGAAAAGTTCATTTATTCATAAGCAGCGGGTAGAATATACAATATTGTATACACATGAAACTGTCATGCTTTTTTAAAGAGGGAAGGATAAAAACTGATTTCACCTACAGATAAGTACTATAACACCAGCTGCTTCACGTTACATGTGTATGTGATTTCCTATGCTTATATTAGAGATGCACAAGGGAAGAAGCTTCACTGAAATGCTTTCCTAAATCACAATCATCAGGACCCCATTCCAGCAATACCTTTCATACTTAGAATGCCCATTCTACCCACTATGGAAGCACAAACCAATGTTGTCACTGTCCCTCATTCATTATCACTACTGGAAATCATGGAGAGCTCAATCTTGAATTCTTTATGCAGCTAAAACTGCCAAGTGTGGTTTTTGCCATTAATGGGAAAGTGTAATATAGGTGTAAATTTCGATAATGGGTAAATGATGACTCCATCTGCCAGGAAGACAAAGAGGCTCTTGTTAGGGTTCTCAGTTTGAAATTAGCTACTTATTTATGCTCTCAGAATAGAGGAAAATATCAGAAAACATAACCTTTCTGGTGCTCTTTGACAATTATATGGTTTTGAAGCAGGCTTCCTTTTGAAAACCACAGCTGAAAACAACATAGTTATGGTAGTTTTCTCATTTGTTCTGTTATTGATAAGGGGGACGTTCTTGCAAAACCGCAGTTAGTGGGGGCAGGATGAGCTGCAGAATGGAAATTTTTTCATCATATTTGACAACAAGTAAATGAAAAAAGAGGAATTGAGGAGCCAAGCTCATGGTCACTACCAAACATTCTCCTCTGAATGCTCACACGGCCACAGAAATGAATGGTAAAACTTTCATTAATTTGAATATTGCAGGACCAGGCCCAATACTGGTTGTCTGTACTCTCCAGTGAAGTCAGGAAGGCCAAAGCTCAACTGGAGTTGCAGCTAGCAAGGGATGTGAAGGGTAACAAGAAGGGTTTTTACAAGTATGTCGGTAGCAAGAGGAGGATCAGAGGAAGTGTGGGTCCCTTACTGAATGGGGGAGGCAACCTTGTGACGGAGGATGCAGAAAAGGCTGAAGTGTTCAACACCTTCACCTCAATCTTCACAGGCAAGGTCAGCTCCCAGACTACTGCACCAAGCAGCACAATTTGGGGAGATGGTGAGAGGCCAACAGTGGTGGAAGAAGTTTAGGGACTGTTTAGAAAAGCTGGACATCTACAAGTTCATGTGGCCAGATGCGATGCACTTGAGGGTGCTGAGGGAGTTGACTGATGAGATTGCAGAACCACTGACCATCATCTTTGAAAACTCATGGCGATCAGGAGAGTTCCTGGATGATTGGAAAAGGGCAAACATAGTGCCCATATTTAAGAAAGGGGAAAAGAAGGATCTAGGGAATTACAAACCAGTCTTCCTCTCCTCAGTCCCTGGAAAAATCATGGAGCAGATCCTCAGGGAACCTATATCTAAGCACTTGGAGGAGAAAGTAATTAGGAATAGTCAGCATGGATTCACCAAGGGCAAGTCTAGCCTGACCAACATGATTGCTTTCTGTGATGAGATGACTGGCTCTGTGGATGTGGGGAGACTAATGGATGTGGTGTACCTTGATTTTAGCAAGGCTTTTGATATGGTGTCCCACAACATTCTCACAGGCAAGCTAAGGGGATTTAATAGCAACATTCATCTGCCTGAAGGGAGGTTCGAAAGAGAATGGAGCTAAACTGTTCTCAGTGGTGACAGATGAGAGAACAAGAAGCAATGGTTTCAAGTTACAGCAAGGGAAGTTTAGGTTAGATATTAGGAAAAAAGTTTCTGACTAGGAGGGTAGTAAAATAAGATGTCGAGTGGGTAAGGTAACTAGTAGGGTGAAAGTGCTAGACTTTAGGAAAGCTGATTTCAATGAACTCAGGCAATTAGTCAAGGACGCACTGCAGAGTAGGAGTTTTGAAGAGATGGGAGCCCAGGAAGGGTGGCTGTACCTTAAGGAAATGATCCTTTGGGCACAAAGGGAGACGATCCCGATGCGAGGAAAAAGAGGAAAAGGGGCCAGAAAGCTTCCCTGGCTGACCAGAGAAATCCAGAGCAGCCTACGGGCTAAAAGGGGAGCATATAAAAAGTGGAAACAGGGAAAGATTACCAAAGAGGAGTATACCTCCTCTGCTCGTGCTTGTAGGGAGGCAGTTAGACGGGCCAAAGCTATCATGGAGCTGAGGATGGCATCCCAAGTTAAGGATAACAAGAAATTGTTTTTCAGCTATATAGGGCGTAAAAGGAAGGCCCAGGGTGGAATAGGGCCCCTACTAAATGGGCAGAAGCAATTGGTGATGGACCGGGGTGACAAGGCTGAACTTCTCAATGAGTTCTTTGCCTCAGTGTTCCTAAGTGAGGGGCAAGACAAGGCTCTCACTGGGATTGTAGAGAGGCAGCAGCAAGGTGCCAGACTACCAAGCATAGACCCTGAGATGGTGCAGAGTCACGTGAAGGAACTGGATGCGTTTAAGTCGGCAGGCCCGGATGAGCTCCATCCGAGGGTACTGAAGGCACTGGCTGACGTCATTGCACAG